TTGTGCCTCCCCACAGTTGGTGCTAAAAGCATCAAATGGAATGAACCTGTTATCCCTAACTCTTCTTAACAATAGTCAGATCACACTGAACCAGTAACACTTTCTCTCAACTTCCATTTATATTCCTGTTTGGGAGTCATTCTGCATTGCTGAAATCAGTCCATTCAGCCTGCATACTTGAAGTACACAACTGGGCTCTCTCTCCCCTTCCCTTGACCCTCACCATGTGGAGACACAGCAAGAAGACCACCGAGCACAAGTCAGGAAGTGACCCTTAACCAGAAACAGAGCATACTGACTCTTTGAACGTCTAGCCTCTCGAACTCAGAATAAATTTATTGTTTAAATAAAAACAAAACACTCCACCCCTCTTGCAAAAGTACATAACTGGGTAGGGCCAGCTTGTTTGTACTTCCTTGTGGGAGATCCCCTCCGAATCACCAGTAACAATTGGTTGTTAAAGTAACTTGTCAAAAGTCAATTCTTTAGATACCTGTTCTTACAGGACAATTAAACTATTATAAAATTATGGAAAACAAACCACTGGGGAATATTTTTCTTTCATTTTAAAATGTCAATTATTTTCAGACATGCTATTTAGTTTTAAAAAGTAATCATGAAATAGAACACATACTTCAGAAATGAAATGAGAAAAATGCTGCACCTTAGAATTTACGACTAAACAAATGAAATAGACCTATAGTGCTGTTCAATGAGATTACCAGGAGCCTTGTTGCCAGTTGTGTTGATTGTAAAACCACTCTGGGCACATAGGTGAGCCAGTCCACATGTCAGGCATATGGAGGGATAGCTTGGTAGAATGATGGCCAGCTGCATCATACCTACAGGTCATCAGGCAGCTTCTTCAAAGTGCCCAGTGGAAAACATGTTTCGACCTTGAGAGTTTGTTTGAAGGTTCTAGCAGGGGAGCATGGTTACGCATATACCCTTGACCGAATGGTCCTCCTCTTCTGGGTGTGATCGTCTTCTTCAGGAGGGATGCATGCTGAGCAGTGAGGAAGGAGATGCCTGCCTAGTTAGCCAAATCAGCCACATCAACTCTGGCGATCAATCGGGTAACAGATGTCGTGGTCAGATCTCCCTCACACCTAGGAAAGCTTAGGTTTAAAAATTGCTTCTAAACGTGTGCAGTTGTGAGGAAAAATGCCTTTGTAGTGTTTCCAGAACAATGTTATCTCTGGGTGTAGCCACAGGAACCCCCAGGACTTCTCTCTGCAGTCAATGAGGTTGCAACACCTTCACCATCCATCAGCCTCTCAACTGTAGGTGAAGGGAGAGTGAAACCCTCCTCAGAAAAAAAGCCTGATACTGCACTGGGTGAGAAATCAATGCAAGCTGCAAACAGGCAGAATGGAATGCTGAGACTGAGGAAAGGAGCAGCTGCTGGGCCTGCCCTCATGCTAGCTGGCCAGCAGCCCTATGACATTCTGGCCAGAATGCTCTGTATAACCCTCTTCCCTCATCAGTCATCTATTCAGGTTCATTTTTGTTTCTGGTACAAAACACTTTTCTTTGTTCTCAGGTGTTAGTGAGTGTTCAACTTTCATCTTCCTGAACCATGTCACAAAAGAATTCGACTTTAAAGACAGAAAAGTCCCCAAGGTCATAGCTTCCTAATCTTTTCCTGAGAAATTGCTTCCATGTTGAATGCTGGCTAAATTAGGTGCATTTAAGGATTTCATCTTATTGATTACATTGCTATTACAAAAAATGGTTTGATTTTTAGTTCTTGGTGGACTGGGTAATCCAAAAAAGGATTATTTGGCACATTTTGTAAGAAATAGGATGTGAGATTATGATTTCCATTTATCCTTCATTGAGGTCAATTCCTTTTAATAAAAACTAAAATTCTCATGTTCTAGGTTATTTTTCATTAACTGAGAATACTGATTCCCAGGATAAAATTGAATTACAATTTTATAGAATCTCAATCTATTTGTCTAGTGCTTTTGTGAGTCTCAATTTTGGACGTAGCGCATTCAACACAAACTACCCGGTACAACTGGTTATTCCTCCTAGCAATATGACTTCATGCCAAGATGGAACTTCTGCAGGTTCAGTTTACTCCTCTGCAAAATGGGGTTAATAGCAGTACCTAGCTCAAAGAGATGTCTAATTTAAATAAAGGGCTTAGCACACAATATGCAAAAAATTCAATTTACTACTAGTGTATCTGGGCCACCTTACCCCACTGGAATTACACAAATCTTGAGTATCTTTATGTTTCGATTCCTTTAACATACTATGCAGATGAACAATTTCAAGGGAACATGACTGCCTTTCCTCCTAGGGGCTAACATTTTAGGCACAGCACACACCTGTAGAGTGGGAAACCTGGCTTCAAGGGAATTTCCACTTCTTACCATCTTTCTCCACTCTCCCTGTATCCCCATTCTGTTCCCTGAAACCTTTTAACATCATGGATCCATTTTATGAAATGCTCTCACTACATTTTCCTGTGCCTTACTCACTATATTTACTCCTGAAGACTTTCTCCTGGGACTTACGAGACTGACAGCTCACGATTGCTCGCCTTTCTGATACTCATGCAACAAACTATGGTTATGTTTATATGGGACTGCTACATCTTAGAAGGCAATTATTTTCAGTCATCATCTCCCCTGGGTCTAGCTAGTGCAGGTACCTGCTACACCGTGTAAGCATTCATAACTTCACCGTGCAAGTTTTCCTACTGAAGGTTCATTAGATACCAATTTAAGGAACAATCCAAAAGCACTTTTTTGTGATTATTTTTTAAGTTTTTTTTTGAGTTGGAGTCTCACTGTCGCCCAGATTGGAGTGCAGTGGCCTCTCCCGGCCACCGCAGCCTCGACCTGCTGGGCTCCGGCAATCCTTCCGCCTCAGCCTTCCAAGTAGCTGGAACTACAGGTGCATGCTACCACGCCCGGCTAATTTTTTTTATGTATTGTAGAGATGAGGTCTCGCCTGCCCAGGCGGGTCTCGAACCTGCAGGCTCAGGCAATCCACTCACCTCAGCCGCCCAAAGCTGCGGGATTACAGGCTGAGCCACCGAGCCCGGCTTTGGTGATTATTTTAAATCATGTTTTAGTTATCCTTTATATTTCAGTGTTAGAAAGTGAAAATGAATATTTTCTTTTCTGCTCAAAGTCTATCAATTTGCAGGACTTTACTCTTCCCTGTGAATAATGTGAGGAAAAAAAGACCTGTGGTATGTTAACAAGAGTCAAAAAAAACCAGTGATTATTTTCATCATCATTTTATTTATTATATTTTTGAGTCAGAGTCTCACTCTGATTCCCAGGTTGGAGTGCAGTAGCACATTCACAGCTACTACTGCAGCCTTGACTTGCTAGGCTGTGATCCTTCCGCTTCAGCCTTCCAAGTAGCTGGGACTACAGGTGTGCGCCACCATGCCTAGCTCATTTTTAAATTCTATTATAGAGATGACATCTCGCCATGTTGCCCAGGCTGGTCTTGAACTTCTGGGCTCAGGCAGTCCTCTCGCCTCGGTCTCCCAAAGTGCTGGGATTACAGGCATGAGTCACTGTGTCCAGCTTTTCTATGATCATTTTACAACTATTATATAATCACACTTAACATATTAACTTGCCTTTTATATTTTATATAGTCTTTGCTGTCTTGGCAAAGTCAGAAAAAGTTTAGTGCAATAAAATATTATCATTAAATTTTTAAAAAGCTCTTGATTTTCTAGATAAACCTCTGCCTGATACCATTATTGCAATTATATCATTTTGTTCGGTGTGTGAATGAAAACAATTTTTTTTTTTTTGAGTTGGAGTCTCACTTGGTCGCCCAGGCTGGAGTGCAGTGGCCACTCCTGGCTACTGCAGCCTCGACCTGCTGGGCTCCGGCGATCC